AAATACACTTTAAACCTTTCAATAATATTTTTTATTTTTATTGAATAAATTAAATTCGGGGAACTAAGGGAAAATAATTTAACAAAAATACACTCTAAATATTTCATTTTTTTAAAAATAACTTACAAGATGTATTTATAAATTACATTAAAAATTCATGGCATGTTATTGATAAGCATCAACATCAACATTCTCATGGGATGTAATTGTAATATTATCACTTGATATTGAATTTTTAAGGAAGACTTATATCCTTTCAATATTTGCCTTTTTTTTAAAGTTACCAATAAAATATCATCAAATTTTATAATTTAATTATATGTTTGGCTTTTTTGATGATCTTCTTTCAATAAAACGTATTTGGCATAAATTTTTAATAAACAGATTCTAGCCATGCTGCACATCCAAAAGATTCAATAAATTCCTAACTTTGTAAATCGTCATAAATTAATTAAAAACCTAGGTTTTGAAGATGATTTTTGAATACTTTTTAGTCGGTCAATTGACCGGTCAAAATCAGTCAATTGACCGGAGGAGTATTTGACCTGGTAAAATACTCTAAAAAAATTTGAAGAAATAAAAATAAAATATGTTAGAGGGAAAAACGATATAAATATAGTACTTTCTTTCCTTTTCTATTAAATATAAACCCTCTCCCTCCCTCCCTCTTTACTTTAGTAATAATTTTTTTTTCTTCCTTTCTTATATTATTTATAGCTGGCGCCAAAGTTTTTTTATAAATAAAAAAAGTATTTAAAATGAGAAAATTTTCTAAAAAAAGTATTTAAAAATGAAAAAAAAAATATTAAATAACAAAAAATAAATTTTGATAGAATTTCTAAAAAACAATTATTAATACATTAAATTTTTTAGAAATTTTTTGAGGGATAGAGTTAAACAATAAATAAATTGTTGCCAATTCAATAGGTCTTTTAATTATCGATTGATACCTATAATAACCATATATTTATATCTATAATAAGTTCAATAAAAAATTACTTAAAATATATGGGTATCTGTGCTCGGGGTTCGTGCTCATAGCAGATTTAGTCGATTTTTAAAACCAAGCGCGAGGTCTGGATATAACATTATCAACCAATTAACAACACTAGTAATTTAGTTTCATAAAATTTAAGTTAACCTGTTAATTTCATAAAATGAAAAAATTTCAAAGCTTACTCGACTAAATTTGAGTTATAATTTTTTTTAATAGACAAGCCCTTACTGTTTTGAAGAAATCAATAAATTACAGGTCATTATTTCAGGAAAAAAAAGAAGATAGTTTGGGGTTCATAAATTCTATGAATTTTTAAAAAAAATATATATCAAAAACATCTTAATCCTCAAAATTTGCCTCTTATTACCTCATCCTTGAAGATTATAATCTTTTATATTTCAATTTCAATCAGAGGTAATAATAAATACGACAATTTACATACATAACGTTTTTTCAAACGGTTTTTGATGTTACAGGCAACCTTTTTTTATTTCCAATAATTTTATAGGAATTGATTTTTTCGATTAAGTTCATGTTATCAAAATTTCCGTTATATAGAATTTAAAAATCCTGAACCTAAATTAAACCCTAATTTTTGGTAATCTAGCAGATATTTTTATCTTTTAATAATAAATGTTAAGATATAGACATGTCAATTTTTTTCACGAACAAATTTGAGACCAAATTTTTTAACCCCGCTCCCAGGTCAAAATTATATACACCATATAAAGGTAGAACTATACTTATTTGATACCCACCCATTATCATATCAATATTTGGTGCTGATAAAATAATTCCTGACCTACGTAGAAATAGCTTCACTCATCTAGACATGGTTTGCTACCTATTCAATAGATCTAATTAGCTAGCGATTGATACCTCTAATAACCATACATTTATATATATTAATAAGGTCAAGAAAAATCAACTTAAGATATATTAATCTGTGCTGGGGTTCGTCATAGCTAGTTAAGTCGATTTTAAGATCCAAGCTCCTACAAAACCAACCAATAAATAACACTTATATAATAAGTAATAGAGTTTCATAAAATTTAAATTAACCTATTTATTGAGTTCACGACTCAAGTTCAGAACTAGAGTCGTAAAAATGACTCGAGTTATTGCTACTTAAACACGGAGTCAGGATTACTCGACTATCTAATTTTAAATTTAATAATAATAAACAAAAATATCGTAATTAAAAATAACTAATTAATTTGAAATATACTAGAGTCTAGTCTCTAGTTGATCAAATTTATAGAACTATTTGTCCTCTAATTGTCTCAAGTATATAATTCCTATTTACGAGTAAAGTTGGAAGTCTAAAATAAAAAAATGTAATAAATAACATATATCTTAATTAAAATTAATTTGAAATATTCGTCCTCTAGTCGTCGACTCAATTTCATAAAATTATTCGTTATCTAGTCGACTCAAGTATATAGACATGAGTTCATAACTCGAGTCGCGACTTGAGTTCAAGACTCAAGTTCAAAACTAGAGTTGTAAAAATGAGTCGACTAATCGACCCAACTCGACTATTTAACATTACCTATTTCTATTCCTATTATAATTGTTATCTCTATTATCATAATTTTGTCTAGAATTGTTTCTAAAATTATTATTAGGTCTAAAATAATTATTATCATTCCTGCAATTATATCTAGGAAAAATGTTATCGGAAGTGCTATGGTTAACTAAATCTTTGTGCTCATTATTTTTTATACTAAAGTTTTTATCTTTATCGGACTTTTTATCGTAATTAACATAACTTATAATATCAATATCTGATTTACTATTAATGCTATCTAATCTACTTCCTATCTCCATCATTTCATTTAAGGTTATATTAATATTTTTACTCAATTTATATTTTATTTTGTCGTTTAAGGTAGTTAACTTTTCTTTTATCCAACTTTCTTCGGAAAAATAACATTTTTTATCTACATTCTAAAAAAATTTCGTTAGAGTTTTGACATGCTAGTAAATTTATTAATTGAAATATTTTTATCCTGTATTGTTAAAAGGTATCGAAGTTTTTTAATCACTATATTAAGGGTAAAATCTAAATATTTGAAGAAATAGATTTAATATTGTCGAACACATCATCAGATAAATTAGCAAGTAAGGCATTTATTTTAACGGAGTCCGATGATGTGTCGAAAAGTAGTCAAGTACCCTTTCTTACACTTCTGTTAAAGGCTATAAGCTTAAAGAATTTGCAAGGTGTACAATAAGAAATCTCATTGGGTGCCAATTTAATATCCATCTAAAATTTATTATTATCTTTTTTAATTAATTCCTTAACATATTATATTTCAAACAAAAAATTTTAATGTATGTTTTCGTAATACAATGCTAAATAAAACTAAATTTATCATAGCTAATATAACTCCTCCATAATTAATTTTTTATTTAACAGGGCATGAGCTTTTTACCTCTCCTTTTATTTCACATGGGATGTGAGTTTAAGTAAGTACCTATTCCTCTTATGAAACAGTAATAATTATAGTAGAGAAAAATGATCCTATCATTCAGATAGTCCCAATAGGTAGTGTTTTTTAACATTATATTTATATTTTTTTAAGTTAATGTTGATGAAAGATCTGCAGTAAATTTTATTATAATAATTTATTGATCAATAATACTATCTTATAGATAATACATTCAAAAGTACAAAATTTGCAATCTGGTTAAATTTGCTTATATTTTAAAAATATGTATATAATTAATTAAGTAATTTTACCATGCTATTTTAAAAATAAGAAAGAATGCTAATTGTGAATTTAACTAGATTTTTAACATTTATTCAAAAAAGGTGCATTTATATAATATGATAATAAACATGCCAAGAATTGTATCAAGACAAGTACATAGGAATAATCTTTGCACATAATCAGTTGAGGAGTATTACAGAATTGGGATTTCTATAACATTTATAGATACATTTTTCAAATTTTAGCACGCCGCCCCATTACGACATGTACTAAGAACTTTCTAATTTACGAAGGCTAAGAACATATTTGCGAAATACTACCTCGCAAAATAGATTAAATGGCTTAGCACTCATAAATATTCAACAGGAATTGTTAATTCTGAAACAATTATCCAATTCTAAAAGAAAATAGATCCAACATTATAAATTATTACCACGTTTTTGTATTAATGTAAATATATGTAATTTATTATATATTATATAACCTAATAAAAATATATTTCCTATTTGTTACAGAGTTATTTTTTGATATAATCTCTTAACCAATTTCGTATATTTTAAAGATAAATATTTTTTTATTAAAATTAACTTCCTATCTTGTAAAAATATTTTACGAAGTCCCCTCCCCATAAATTTATTAATCCCCTCCCCCTTAGGAAAATCCTTTTCATCATATTACCCTGCTCCTTATTTCCTAATTACTAAATGATTCATTTCTATGGCATCCTTATCATGTAAGTAACTCATGGCGTCATTATATTTGCATAATTATTTCTACTAAAGATTTTTATGTTTTATTTTATCAATTTATCTAACATAATTAACACTGATGATATGAGTTTACATCATGAGCGTCTCCGATCCGATCCCGGTCTAAGACCGTTAGGACCGGACCGTTGACATTCACTACTCATGTCTTCTTAGATTATCTATATATTTTGCGAAAATAAAATGCATGTATACGCATTTCTAATTGAAGAAAAGGATAGGATATTTACTTTAATCTAATCTCAACATTAAGAAAAAAAAATTTGACTTATAATATAGTTGAAATTTAATAGAATATCTTATTTGATACAAAAACTTAAATTTTCAAAAAATAAAAAAATATTTTTTAAAAAAAGCTCTTAAATACGAGTAGGTGCATTTATCTCAAAGCCTCATCGTTTGTTTTACAGATTCCCAATTTATAATAACATTTTATAAAGAAACATATCCTCAAATGTTATATTTTATATATTGAATTTTAATTAAAAAAATTTTTTTTTTATTGTTCGGAGACGGCAAATAATTTATTGCAAAAGGGAGACAGAGAAACTAAAATAACATGATTATTTAAATATATTTTAAAAAATTTTCTGCATAATATAAAATATCAATATGTTCAGTCTATAATTGAATGTTATAATTTTAATAATAAAAAATCTAAAAATAAAGATAAAAATCTAAGAGATATTTGTATCGTTAACAATTAAATTTTTTTAAATTAATTCTAATTCAATTGCATAGTTTTGATATTATTTATTGATTGTAATTATTTAAATATTTTGAGTGTGAATTTATATTTTGATAAAAATAAGATTATAAGGAGCGATAGTGGCATATAAACTAATAATTGTCTGAATCTATATGGCAGCCAAATAACTCGATAAGTTGCAACTAGATTATTTGAATCTATTTGAGTAAATAAAATATTATTTAAAAAAATTGATATTATAATTATATGTTTAATTCAAATAGAAATTTTTTCATCTATTATTTTTTAAATAAAACTTGCTTTAAATGACTATTCAAAGCAAAACTCTAATAAAGGTCTTAAATGGCTATTTGCTTCTACTAATTTAAAAGTGTGTCTAGAAATTATAAAAAACATTATAAATTAATAGCTTACTGAGCGTCGTTGGGGGGGGGAGGCTAAAGCACGTTGAATTTTTTTATCAATTTTATTTTTATAGCCCTTTATTTTAAAGATTTTTTTACATTATATACTTATTAAATACTTATGGTATTTAATTAAAAGTTAATGTTATATAAATAATGTATAAATCAATAGGCGGAAAATAATTCCCGGGAAAATATTTTAATGAAGATAAATGATTAATAATTCCTTGGAAAATAATTCCAGGGAAAAAAAATCCCACAGAAAATAATTCCTCATTTTTTCGATTTAAAAAAATATAATATGGAAAATAATTCCCAGAAAAAAGTGAAAAATAATTTTATTTTTAAATATCAAAGATAAATCGATCAAATTACTAAAAATTACAAATATTTTTTATAAAAGTTCTTTTATATATAACTAAATATTTTGCAATTTCTACACATAAAAAATCTCTCAAATTGAAATCACAATTTATATTAAAAGTTAATCCTCCAAGATTTTTCTCATTTTCTGAAGATTTTTTTCATAACTCAATAAACTTTTAAATTTAAAAAACTATTAAGACAGCAAAATTTTTATAATAAAACAAATTTTCGCGAAATTTTTTATCGCGAATGTTTATTAAAACAAATTGATTTTATAGATAAATATCGCGAATCCACATTCGTATACTATTCATCGAGGACCATAGCAGAACTTTTACCGAGATCTCCTTAGAGCTAATACATAAGAGCGAAACTTATATCGCTAATTTATAATAGCAAAAATCTTATACAGAATGTGAAACTAAAATAAAACTATTTTGCGAATCATATATAGCGAAAATGTGAAGTCAATATCGGGAAAAAAGCACGCAATCAATATCGCGATAATTGATAATAGTGACTATTTTTTTTAAATCCATGAAAAAATTATTTTATTCTTCCATATATTATTATCTTTTAAGCTGATCCTTTTTCTGGGCAATTCCATTTTATATCTGAGCATATATAATTCTGGATATTCAGTATTAGTTCTCTTTGAGTATTCTCAACGTTTAAGAGGTGTGTCAATAAAATCTGGTGGTATCTTTGATAATTATTTAGCAGCGATAACATAAAAAGTATTCAAATAGATTTTTGACATTTTATAAAGCAGCGATAGCATAAAAATTATTCAAATAGATTTTTGACATTTTGTAAAAAATATGGCACCAAATTAAGATGGAGTGGTTATGACGAAAATAAAAAAAGCAAATCCTAAATTAAAAAAAAATAAAGGAGAAATATAAATATAAAACGAGAAGAATATAAGGTAATAAAAATGAGTCTTTGAAGCTTATGTAGTTCACTTTAAGGATGACCATGTTTCAGTCTTTGATGAAGGAAAAAACCTTCATGACGTTCTTCTGTAAGTTTACTAATTTGGGAGCTTATTTTTGAAGAATGCTAGGGCGAGTTTACCAAAAGTGTAGTGTCGATTTCATAGGTATGAAAATGTGTCATTAAAAATCTTTGAATAGAGATTTTATATTATTCCTCGTGGTCCAAGATGTTGAGTGCTTGGGATAGAGCCAGGGGATAAATATAAGAATAAATTACATACTAGTAATTTACCCACTCTTCCATGGATTTTGAGCAATCCCACCAGTAATTAAGAGTTTGATGAATTTTTTGCTTTTCTCAATAAATATAAATATTATTTTCATTAGGTATTGGTGGTATCAGCTTATATACTGTTAATGATTAACATAGGTATAATAATTTTTAATTGAATAAATAATAATTATCTAAAAAAACCAACAAAAAGAGAGAATTAATCTAAATCGTGATTTTTATTAAATTTTTTTAAAAATGATTTATCATTTCAACCTTATTATTAAATAGAAAATATTTGTGAGAATTTTAAGAATTACGAGATCTCACTATTATGAAAATTCAAGTAAGAAAAGGCACCAGGATACCTAAATGTAACCCAGTCGATATTGTTTAAAAAGAGTAATCCCTCGAGTTGGAAAAGGCTAGCAACAGTTTACTTTTCATTCCTTGTTTTTAAACACCATTTTTATTAATGAATTACAAAATGTTTTTATTGAAGTTCCACTCCGATGAGTCACTTAAAAATAAGAAAAGTATATTTTAATCAGAAATATTTCTTAAACTATTTTAATTTAAAAAAAATTCATATATTTTAAAGTCTACATTCCCCTCATAAGAAATTTCATTTTTGTCATGCTTTTATATACCATTCAAATGTAAATTTAAAACTCCTATTCCCGTTTTTTCGTATCCCATTCGATAATTTATAGAAGGCACGGAGATTTCATAAATGTATGTTTGATCGTTGGAAAGAAAAAATTTAATAGAAATAGAGGTTTCAAAATTTTGAACGAACGTTCCTTCAACTTTACTATTTTTAATTCTCCTATAAATGATTCGACTCTATGAAATAAAAAATAAATGTGTGTAAATGATTATCAAATTATACCGTATGAAGATCTCCTGATAGTATCAAATTGGGGGAATATATGCGAGCAATCTATAATAAGAAATAATATAAGATTAACTACTTTATATATTCTTTTTAAATTATCATATCTAATTAAAGCAAGATCAAATTAAGCCTTCCAATTTCTCATTATATTGCTGCTCTAGGTTTAATTATAATACAAATTCCCTAAAAAATTGTTTTTGTGATAGCTCACAATACTTTGCAGTGGCTGAGATTTTTTTTTTCTAATTTGGGCAAAAATTTTTTAGTGTATGTAGGCCAAAGTAAAATTTTTTTAAAAAAATGAAAATATAATCTCATAAGGTATTTCTTTTTTCTTTCAGAATTTGTATGTATTGATTTGAGGAATTTTGGCTATTAATTATAGAATAAAAATAACTCGTTTTGTAACTGCCAAAATGTAGGGGAGACCAATTTTAAGTGGCCATAGACGTCAAACCACCCCCTTTAATTTTTTATATTGGACCAATTTCTATCAAAATAGGATAACAATTTTTTTAATCCCTCTTTCTTGCGTTATTTGTTTTTATTTGATAAAAATTTTACACTTCAAATGTCTGATATACAAATATTATAAGGCTTTTAAAATTATCTATGTAAAATGATCGAAGTGGTATCTGTAGCTATCAATCAAATTTTGAGTATGGTTATCAAGGCATCATGTAAAAACCTGTTGTTTATACTTAAAATCAATTTTTGGAACCCATTCTTTTTTGCCTCTTATGATGAACCCCGATCTCGCAAGATTTTTAAATCAGGTTCGGAAATTTCATAATTTCATTTTTAGAATGGCGCCCCTAAAATTTTGAATATTGGCGGCGCTCTACACCCTCTGATTACTTTTGCAAAGAAAGCCTTGGCTAATCATACCTCGTTTCCCCTATACTATAGGTATGTTTAATTCATCATATTAAAGATATGTTTTCGGGTGTTTTTCCAATTTTTAAAAAAAGTTTCCATAAAATATGATTATAATTTATTGTGGCTCTCGGATTTTACAGGGCGATTTTAAAAAATACAATGTTATCTAGTTAACATAGAACAAGACTGTATAACGGGGGGGCTGAGCCCCTCGCTAATTATTTTGATTTTAGCCCCCTTAGAACTAATATTATAAAATTTCTTAAAAAGAATCATAAATAAAATATTGGAAAATACACAATATTTAAGAGCGAATATAATATTGTTTAAAAATATTATAGCTATTTAAACAGGTTATGTAAATCATACTAAAATATAAAATTAAACATTTTATAAAGATTTAAAAAGTTAAAACATCGTTCATTAATGAAAATTTGATCCTCTTGCAATTACCTCAACTTTTTAATAATCTGTTCTGTATTGGGAATTAAATCTCGATGTATATTAAGTAAAGTTAATCCATTCAATCGATTTTAAGATATCATATATTTTGAGATATGTTTTTATTTTTTTGTAATGAAAAAAAGGTCCTCTCATTTGTGTTTATACTAATTGTATCATTGCCAAAATATACACTAATTTTATTATATTTGGAAAAACTCATTAAATATATTTCAAAGCATGCATGCCTCCAATGTGTTTCTTGGAGAAATATCTACTAAAAATTAATTTTTTATATCATTTAAATTCTGAAATTAACTGGCCTTAGGATATATTTATATCCTCTGAATAAAATTTGGCTAAATATTTAATTTTTTTATATCATTTAATATATTCTCCAGATCAGAGGGAGTTATAAGATATATTTATAAACTAAATAGAGCCATTTGATGAATCATAAATAGTTCATTGATTGAGTCAAAAATGAATCCAAAAGTGGAATAAAAAGGATAATTTTATAATAATCCTCAATTTAAGTACATGTTGATATTGAAAAGATTTGCTTGTCGGTGAAAGTCGAGGCTTGCGAATCTCAAAATCATATAATTTCACTTACGCCTTAATAATCGCATAAATTTCGAGAAATTCTTAGTCGATATTATCTCTATTTGCGATTTCCATAGTTTTGAAAAATATTACATAAAATTGTTTGTGTAATAAATAATTTATAATACATTCCAAAGAAAAAAATAGACATTAAATCTAATAATGCAACAACTTCAGGTGAAATATTTGTTTCAGGCCATTCTTATACTTCTCTAAGGGCACTCAAAATAGACTCTTTTAGATCCAGAAAATGCTGTATTAGCTTGTTGTCGAAGGCTCTATCTAGCCGGGCATGCTTTTTTCAGTTTATTTCTTCCTGATTTACAAGAAGTCTCAGAAAATTATATTCAGCAAATCTTGTCTATTTAGATATCTGAACATTTCATACATTCTAGAAATTTTCTAATCATAGTTATTAGTAGAGATAAATTAAATAGAACTTTTTTAATTGATAAAATTTTCTTATATCTAACCGTGGACAGTGTTTAAGGTTTTAAAAAATGTAAGAAAATAAATTTTAAATTCGTGAAATAAAATATTAATATCAGACCACGCTGAGCCGGGCTGTACATGGGCCGGTCCGTATTTCTTTTTTTTAAATGCCAGGGTCGGACCTAAATTTTTTTTTAAAAATACTCGGGCCGGGCTGTATATTATAAAACCGAATATTTTAAATCGTCATTATTAGCTATAAAAATTAAAAATAAATGTAATATATTTTTAAAAAATCTGAGCAGGAAAATATAAAATAGGGCCGGGCTGAGCCGAAAATTATTTTTAAAATAAATCCAGGCCGGATTGTGCAAAATGATATCTGCAAGTTTATGATTAATAAAAGGAATAAGTATTTAAATTAATTTTAACTTTTTGCTAATATTTATAAATAGAATATAACCTATTTGAAATATAATACTTTGCAATTCACAATTTATGAAAGCCTTTTATATTTTTTCAAAAAAATTTACTATGCCCCTTCCCCGCTGGATACGCGTATTTAATTAAGATTTTATTTATTCTTTGTTTTACACGTGTTGAAATAAATACAATAAAAAATAATTCTAATACTACACTATAAATAAACAAAACAATACAAAAGAGCACAATAGTAATATATTTAAAAAGACAATTATTAATCACTCATGTCATGACATGACTACAATTCACAAGCTATATGGAAACGATGAATATTAATATCTATTATAAGGTTCCACGTCTTTATAGAGAAACCATTATAGAGAATGTATTTTATAGAGAAACATTTATAGAGAAAACAATTATAGAGAATGCATTTATAGAGAATTGTTTTATAGAGAATGTAATTTATAGAGAATGATTTTAAAGAGAATTATTTTATAGAGAATGTCCTTTATAGAGAATGACTTCAAGGAGAATGATTTTATAGAGAATGCCGTTTATAGAGAATGGTTTTATAGAGAATGTCGATTATAGAGAATGATTTTAAAGAGAATTATTTTATAGAGAAGGTCCTTAATAGAGAATGACTTCAAAGAGAATGATTTTATAGAGAATGTTGTTTATAGAGAAGGATTTTAAAGAGAATTACTTTTATAGAGAATTATTTTGTAGAGAATTTCATTGTAGAGAATTATTTTGTAGAGAATTACATTGTAGAGAATTATTTTGTAGAGAATTTTTTCTAGATCTTGATTTTATAGAGAAATATTGTATGTTCAAAAAATTTATGCGGGATTTGAAAATATATCAAAATTAACATTTTAATAATACAATTCAGTTTATTTGTTAGTATTTTTTCGATGACTTTATTTGTTTCAACAATGGTTTTTTTGTAAAATCTTTTTAGTTCATATCAAGGTTTAGCTTGATTATTAACTCAGCTAAACCAACCCTGAAACGATTTGTTAAATATGTATTAACCGTTATTAAAGAGAATCTAAACTGAACCAACCATTTTTAAAATTTTTATATATTGCATTTATATGTCAGCTATCTAAATTAGCCTTTAGAAGGGTTCTTAACTTTACCCTTATGGATATATGACGGACGAGAATCTTATTCTAATTTTAATTAAGAAAAGGTTTTAACCAGTTGTTTGGGTAAAAAATATGTCACATTCCCGTTCGTTCTGCGTTTCGGAACACGTTTCTAAATATAATTTTCTTTCTATTTTATTATACAAATTTTATTCATAAATCTTTTTAATATAGATAACTAAGAATTCATTAATCTCTAATGATACACATTTAGATGTATGCGATGGCTTTAATATATTGAGTGTCGAAAAGTGCCGATCTCTAGGGGTTCCACATATTTATAGAGAAACCAATATTTTTGATTAAATAGAAGCACCACAATTTTGTCCTACCTAAAAAACCAAAACCGTCAATTGAAGGTTTCTATATAAGATATTATAGCGAATGCATTACCGCGAATGCACTATCGCGAATGTATTATAGCGAACGCATTACCGCTAATGCATTATAGCGAGTATAATATAGCGAAAATATTATAGCGAATGCATTATCGCGAATGTATTAGCGCGAATGCATTATCGCAAGTGTATTATCGCGAATTCATTGTCGCGAATGCATTATCTCAAATGAATTACATCAGTTGCGATATCTGGAATGGAGTTTGATGAAAACTACAATTTTATATTTATCGGCCTTTAGACAGACTTAGTTGAACCTGGAAATTAAGTTAAAGTCGGGCTTGGGTCTAAAAATATTTTTTTTTAAAATAGGGTTATTGATTTTTTTGACTCAAAAAATGTAAAAAAGATTATAAGCAATAAAATAGATTTCTCTAAAGATTAGGGTAAAGGAATTAAATTTTTATATTAATTGATTGTTTAAATATGCGTTTAGTTATATTTTCCAATTAAATTTGGGACAGGACAGGCTCAGGCCTAAAATTTAAAATTATGGCTAGGGTCCTAAAAATAAAGATTTTGGATGGAGCTTTGGCCGAAATAAATAAAATTTGCAAGGCACTAAGAAAAAAAGTTTTATTTAAAACATTGAGCCAAACAGATAATTAGACCTTGGATTTATATTATTCTTTGACAAAGAATGCTTTAATTAGTGAGGGATTTAGTATGGACTTGATAAGCATTTTATGATAATAAATTTGTATTAATT